CCCAGGAGCCCATCCCCGGGGGCCGGGAGGTGCTGGTACCTCCTCTGCCAGCGCCTGGACACCATGGCTTCCTCCACGCGGCCGCGGTGCGCCTGCAGCACGGCCAGGACGTGCCTGCAGGGCAGCCGGTACCGGCGGTGGAAGCAGCAGCTGCAGCTCCGGCCGTCCCGGCTCACCCGCTGCGTGTCCTCCAGCAGCCGCACGGTGAAGCTGCCCGACGCGGGGCTCAGCAGCTGTGTGGAGCTCTGCACCATCTCCCACTCCTTCCAGCACAGCCAGGAGCCCAGCTCTGTACAGCTCACCCACAGCATGGCCAGCACATGGCCCGTCCCCGCTGCGGCAGCCTGCTCCGCAGGCCCCAGGTGCTTGGCAAGAGCTGGAGAGCCACAAACGGGGCCTGGTTCTAGCGCAGTACCAGGGTGCATGCCAGGCTTCTCCAGGAGGCTGCTCCAACTGTCCTCCTTGGCGCTCAGGAAGCCCCAGTTCGGGCTTTCCAAGCCTCCGGCATCAAGGAACTCTGCACACTCCAGAAAATGAAATGTGCTCGCCTCCAGGGACGGCTGCTGGCCGAAGAGACCAGCTACTTGGTGCATGAGGTGGTCCAGGCTGTCCAAGAGCGTGCCGCAGGAGCGCAGACCCTTCCCCGCATACGTGCACCATGATGGCTCGCAGGAGAACCAGTTGGCTTGCAGGTCGTCGTACAGCGCCGGGCTGACCACGGGCTTCACCAGCTGGGACAAGGCATCCAGGCTGGCAGGTGAAGGGGAACACGCGGCCTTCTGCAAGGCCAGCATCAGGCTCTGCTTGAGGGAAGAGGAGATCTCCGCTTCTTTCACGTTCTTCTCAAGCAGGCGGACAGCGTGAGAGACAGACAGGAGCACCCGGGCAGAGGGAAAGAGCTCCTGGAGGACAGCTCTGTGAAAGAAGGAGATGTCCACAAAGACAGCCTGCACTTTTTGCCACTCGGGGTTGAACTCCTTAAAGACAGTTAGCATTTCCCTGACACTGTGGCCCGTGTCATCCTTCAGCAGCGACAAGTGCACCACTTTCCCCACTTGCTCCTTATTCTCTACAAGGAAAGCGTAGAGAACGTGTCCGTCCTTGCTCGGCGCCCGGTGCAGCAGGAGGCTCTTGGGGAACCGCAGAAACGAGCTCTTCATCTTGCTGGTCTGGAAGCTGAGTCTGTCCAGGCCATGGTCGCTGTCTGCGCTGACTGAGGCCAGCAAGCCCCCGTCCACCCTCAGGAAGGTTTTCATGACCTCAGCAATCCTGACGAGTGCTGAGGCCGAGGGTTCTCCCTTCACTGCCTCTGGGTGCACAGTAGTCCAGTGCAGAGCGGTGCCCGCTGGTTGTCCCGTGTCAGTCCCACCCTGCTGCTGCTCACACAGTTCTGTGGCCACGGTGCTCGCTGTCACAGCCGTGTCCCTGCTTGGGGAACACCCCGGGTCCAAGTGGATGTGGTCATTGTTCAGTTCGTTGATCACCAGCTGGTCTATGTCCTCCTCATATTGCAACACAAAATAAGCTGGACATAAGCTGGGCTGCTGCTTTTTATTCCTCTTGTATCTTTGGATCCGGGCACAACCAAACTTCACCTGCATGAACCTGCAAACATTAAAACATTAAGGGGGGAAGCAAAGGTGGCGTAGGCTGCCAGCAGTTAGACATTTCTTGCACATCAGCTCTGTATTCAGTTAGTGAGCACACGGCAAACGTGCCTGTCAGACGTGCAGGCTGGCTTCCTGCTCAGCAAAGCCTGGGGTAAAGCTCAAACGCAGGAGAAACAACAGAATCAAGAGTTACAACAGCCACAAGCAGACACCACAACGCAGCCCCAGCTCCTTCTCAGTGGTGCCCCCGTTTCTGCTCTCTAGAAACCACAAAGCCATCAACAAAAACTCGATACCTGCATGCTCGTGTCTTACTCTCTTAAAGCACTTCTGCAACTCCTGTGTCTGGAGAAACAAGTTAGAATATAGCAGGAAAGGCTTCAAGGTATGAGATTAAATTATGTTTTAAGGCAGTAAGGGAGCAGCTGTGTAACGGCAGAGTGACGCTGCGGCCCTTGCACACACAAGCAGATCTACCAGCCTGGATGGAAACAGACAGGGTCAGGTAAAGCAGAGGCTGAGGAACTAAGTACCGGGAGAGGGAAAGATGGAGAGGATCACTGCAAAGATCAAAGCTACAGGTTTTGCTACAGGAGGCAGAGAGAGCTGTCAAGCCAAAAAGAGGGTTAAGTCAGAGGTAAGGAGCAGCCCCGGCCAGCGAGGAGGGGGACTGCGGGGACAGCGGCGGTGGCCCGGCCAGCGGAGCCATCCCCGGTGGGTCGCACCCTCGGGGCCGGCCCCCGGCCGCAGCAACGCTCAGACTCGGCTC